TTATGCACAATTGCTACAAAATTTTTAAAAAGTATTTTATGCTTGAAAAGTATATTTACACAACTTTCAAAAGAATATACTGTGCGGTGAACCTGAGAACGCTACAATACCTACTATTAATTATTTGGCCTAATGCAAGTTATTTAGATGTGTCTCTTAAAAGTGAATGAGCTGATTAAAGGGAAATCTGCATTTCTTACATTTCCAAACGCGTAACTGCAGAAGCTCTCTCATATATCGAAATCTCCTGTACTGATGTCGAGCGAATTATTTTTGCTGGAAGATTAAAGAGAGGTCACCAGCTGCAACGCAATACACAATGCTGACAGGCAGGAGCACAACTGAAAACAAGCAGCTGAAATATCAATCTTTAACTGTTTGATGAACACTTCGAAACGAAGGCGGCATGAGATTTGCTCTAGTAATCAAAATGAAAGAGCTTCTTCGTGTATTTATGTTCTATAAACGGGCGCTGGTTATCATCGCTGTCTCGCAGCGCGGAGCTTGTATTTTCTCCCCGCGTTCGTGGGAGTTTCCTTCGGGAGCTGCCGGTTCTTCCCACAGTCCACAAACATGCTTGTAGGTTAATCGGCGTGTGTGTGTGTCCTGTCGGGACAGGCTCTATCTCCCCCGCGACCCTGAACCGCAAGAAGCGGCGCCATGGAGCTGGGGTGGGTGTTTTAGATACAGTATGAGCTGGTAAATCCAAATCAATTGTAGAAAATTGGTAAATATTCGAGGCCTTTCCGCTATAGCAGTGTACTCGGAAAGAGCGTAGCGCCCTCGCCGCTGCCGCCTCAGCTCGGCCCACCCACCATCGGGCACTCGAACCCAGGCCTCCGGTGTCGCTCAACCGGGACCCAGCCAGTTAAGCTAAAGGGAAATCTCCCGTCAGCCCGACGGCTAAGGTCCCTGCTATCCACAGGGAAAGGGCGGTGACGTCACCGCGCTGCTAAGCCGACTCGCACAACTTGCAATGGCAAAACATGATATATGTAAAATATACAATTTGATCACATCATAACGTAATTACCTCTGGTAGTTCAATGCTTTTTTTCTGCTGAGTTTCTTTTTTCTCTTGTACATGATTCTGAACCTCTTGTTGTATTTGTATCTGTAAATTCTATACGTTTAATAAAAAATTAAACCGCAAAAAAACAACAACTTGCAATGGCGTTACAATAGTAGAGAAAGTTTAGAATGGTTTGGGGTTATACTGTAGTTGAATTGAAAAAACTGTGGACAGCCTAGGGGCGGTTTTGGGGTGTGATTCCAGAATGTAATGTTGATCACAATGTCATCTTTTCCTGCAGGAAATGTGGTAAACTAGTGCCAGGTAAAGAATATGACAATCCATTCTGAGTTTTCTGTTTCCTATTGCACATCGAACGGAGTCTTAACATACCATGCATTGCATGGTAAGTTCGATTTGAAAGCAATGGCACTAACTGGACTAACAAAAAGTGGCAAGACGCGTGGAATAATAACAACCACAGACTGAAACAACTTATTGACAAAATATCCAACAAACCTGCTGGAAATGACCTACCCAGAACAAGCCTGGGTCAAGCTGAACCAACTAAGAACCGGACATGGCCGTTTCCGGGCCACCCTACACAAGTGGGGTCTCACTGATGACCCAACTTGCGAATGCGGCGATGGCGAGGAGCAGACGGCCGACCACATCCTATACTCCTGCCCTCGCTTCAGATGCCCCGGCAACTTTATCGATTTGGATGATGCCACCCGCGACTGGCTGAGGCACCTGACTGTGACAATATAACTATGTAACTTCTGCATGTTAAGCTCATATGAATATATATACATACCATGCAAAAGAAAAGAATGATGACACAGGCCCTTTAACTGTATTTACATACCCACAGCATAGCAATATAAAGTAAGGGGCCTGAGATGATATATTGAATTCCAATTGAAAATCTTTTTCCGCACATTTTAGAAGGTGCGCTGTGTTTACTTGTATTTAAATGTCTCCGTCATGTATCGACATATATGTGAACTAGTTCAAGCTCAAATATGTGTGAACGGCACTGTACAGTATTCGTGGAAGGCAGGTCGTTGAAGGGACTGTATTGACAACTAGTCTGCCACCAGAGGCCGCCAAAGAGTCTCTCACTAGGCTCTCTCAATAGGTTCACCAGTGTTGGTGGTGGTTGGGTTAAGAGAAGCAGAAAGGGTGGGTTACTCATGTGTAGTTAAGGATTAACTCTTCAGTACTTACTTCCATCACAAGTTTGCTCAGCACCTGGAGCCACCTTGACTAATGGTGGTCTGCCACAGTATTATTAGTTAATACATCAAAAATCAAAATGTTTGAAATATATCTCACCTCCTTTCAAAAGGATGTCACTATAGGTCCAGATATGTTTGTAACACTGCCATATAACTAAAACTGTGTCACTCAGGTCATGAGCTCGACTTGAGCAAATCAAACTTTGCATACAATTTGCAATATACAAAATACATTTTATTGCATAACACTACATACTCGTTATATTACAAGATGTATTCCTGTGAGCTAAGCAGTGCACAAGGCAGGACAGGAACCTACTGCCATCAAACGTATTGAACAGTAAATGTGCACATGGCTCAAGAGTATAATCTGAATTACAAAATGGTTTCCTGAACCAAACTGTTACAGATGTAAATTGAGGGTTTGTATGTCATGTCATGATATATTACTTTACAGCTATTTTTGTGCTGTTCCTCTGTAGTAGTGAACTGAGTCATCAGCTGCTTGAGTTTCCTCTGACGACTCGCTGAAAACACATCTGTTCTTTCTCCGGTTCAGTTAACTCACCGCTGTTGAAATGGTCATTGTGACATTTGTTCCAACCACCGGAACTTTTAAGTGCTCTATTCATCACATTTTGTAACTTTTAGAGAAAAATTAGCTTACCTGTTACTGACCTCAACTAGATTTATAACATTTTCTAAATACTACAAATTCTGATTGCCTTTTTGTGTCCTGCACCTGCATATTAAAAACCAGCTCTAGGTTCCTTACTTGGCATAATTACTTTTTTTTATTATCTTCCAATTTGTATTGTGCATTCCTTAATGGTGTAGGGCAAAATTACCATGTAAAGGAGTTTGAGAGGGTACTGTCCGAACAAAAAGACAATCAAATGTCAAAGACTGATTCACTGATAAGCATGTACCAAGTGCTGTGTGTAGCTGACACCCCGAACTTAAAATTCTCCATAACCTGAACAACAGTGTTACTTCACTCCAGTAATTGCCTGCACTCCATGCTCCGCCAAAGAATTACAGAGCAGATGCAAGTCATCATGTTCCTCATTTGGAAGGAACGTTCTCAAAAACATGCAGCAATTCCTATAAATACTTGGGAGCACAAACACCTACTGGCATCACTGCACAAAGCTAATTATTATTTTCCCCAGCCTCACAAGGTGAATGAGTGTAGAACTGCGTCGACACTTCATGTCCATTTTGTAGGGAGAAGACCTTCTTTTTCTTGAGGTCATCAGGCCCAAAAGACATGGGCAGCAGCTCATCCACGGTCATCCGTACGTATGATCCATCCACCTTCGTCAGGAACACATCCCAGCCTGTGCCAAACTGCAAAACAAATCAGATCTATAAGTATCTGAAAACAGAGCAAGAGCACAATGTGCATGAATATGAGTGTACCGTATACACCATTTTATGGGATACATTCATAATTAGGTTTGAAAAATGTACAATGTTAGGAAGGAGGAGAGTCTTCTGTGACTGCTTTGTAAATGTTTAAAGTGAGCAGCCACACAACCACTGCCTGCTTTGGTTGCTTACTTTACGGCTGCTTACTTTGCAAAAGCAAAAGCAGGTGTTACTTTATATTGTTCTCCTTCCTGTGACCACTGTGAAAAAGTTAGAACTAATTATTTTGTATTTAAAAGCTGCATGATTTCTAGGGACCTCTGATCTTAAAAACACCATAGCCCTGACCAGTGTTTGTACTGCATACTGTAGGTATAATAACACGCATGCCTGTGTGCATTGGCATTGTAGGATTATCTAGGCTGCAAGATTTCTGTCTGCAATAAGCAGAGGATCCTTGTGAACTCCAGAGGGAGGATGAAGCACGATGTTGCCGAGTGGGCCCTGTACAGAAACTAAGAAGGAAAACCCTGTTCCTTTGAGCTCCTGCAGAGGACTGGATGACCGCGGTTTCAGAGCCGGGACAGGGGAAGGGCCTGGACAACAGCAAGGGGTAGGGCTTGGAGGGAATCTTTGAATCTTTCATTCTGCAGATCCAGCTCCCACATCCACTTGCTCTGATTCCTAAAGGACAATCACCCTTTTTGAGAACTCTTGTAATATTTTGTAGAGATGACATGACTTTGCATGAGTGTGTACGTGTTGTGAGATGTCAAAATCTGTCTACAGCAAGCAGCATACACAGTACTATTTAACCCTCATGGAAGGATGCCTGTGGTGCCTTGTGATTTTGGCAATAGGCTTGTCCCCCACAGTCATGGTTTGACCCCCAGCCCACCTGTCTGCCCCTCCAGCAGTGCAATTGTTAATGCTACTTAATATCAGGTTCCTCATTTTTCTTAGAAGTAATCTAAAAATAATTTTGTCCTTGCATTTTAATTTATTATTATGATTATCATCATCATCATCATCATCATTAATAATAATAAATACATTGATATTATATCAAGTAGTTCAGGTGGGTAGCTGTGTCAGCATGCGTAGGTTGCAAAGGAACAAGTAATAGGTTTATTCCATGCTGAAAAAAAGAAGAAAGAAAACACAACGTTTCGGACATGGAGCCTTCTTCAGGGTTGAAGAACCCTGAAGAAGGCTCCACGGCCGAAACGTCGTATTTTCTTTCTTCTTTTTTAGGTGAATAAAACTATTACTTGTTCCTTTATATTATATCAAGTCAATATCAAGTTTCTGATCATGCTATTATGAACCGAGGCCTTAGAACTTAGAGCTTGTGATGAATTATTGGAATTTGTCCATATCCACTGCTAAGTCCTGAGCAGTATATTAACATCAAAGCATGTGGAAGCAGCCACCATGACTGGGACTAGCCTAATTTCTCCTGAAACTGGCCCACCTGACAATGATGACCACTAATGCTGACACCGAGGAGTGGTCTTTGCTAATCACACCTCTGTCTCCAATACTTGGTGGTGAAACCAGCACGAAAAACTGATTCAAAAGCAAGAGAATGATCCATTTACAGGATGGATGGCCCCCTCTTGTTTATAACATTTCTGGTTAACAAGTGACTGGTTGCTAAAAACCAACTGCTCTTTCAGTGTTTTCTCAGGGAGACCAACTGTCATTGCTGGATTAAATTAATACTGTATTTAAATTCATATGAAATTCATCCATTCATGATCAGAAGGCCTGTTATTCCCAGAAGCAAGGTAAAAAAAAAAACAGCAAGAATAAAACTCACGCAGTCCTCTGAACAGTGCTGTAAGCAACTGACTGACAGTCCCTTGGTCAGCACTTAGTTAAGTGATTGGCTAAGCTCTGTCTGTCTTGTGAGTCAGCCAACAATAACAGCACCCACATGAAAGCTTGCTTGCCTTGATAGAGGACAGTTTTCTGCACTGCAATAAATGATGTCAGACCTTCTATCTCTGTAAGTACGTTAGTGTGTCTGTTTGAAATCTGGACTGTGCTTTTGCCAGCTGTATTGCCTTATCACCTTGGCAGCTCTCCATTCAATTTCAATCCACGGAAACGTGCCAGGGCTGAAGTGATCTGTGTTCTACTGCGTTTTAGTCTGCCAAATACTTATATCTGGTATCCGTACCATGGGCTGTCCATTTCTATTTCTGGTTTCCTGATAAGTCTGCTGTCATTTTGTTTCCTTTTCCAATGCCCGTTTCAGGACCAGCCTCTGCCCTGACCAAAGTTACTGCTGGAGGTCTGTCTTGCCTAAACCTGTCCCCAGGCTCACAGTCCAGCACAAGAATGCAGCCAAATATCTCACTCTTATTCCAATCAGCCATTTGAAGACTTCCCCCAGGCGGCAGCACATAAGGTTGAAACAGCAGCATACCTTGAGTTCAGTGCAAGTTCACGTGCGACTGCTGATCTTTTCGAAATGTATCTATGAAGTTTTTAGACCAGTAATGGGCAGCTGAATGCCCCCAGCGGCTGGGAGCCTGTACGTTTTACAGCAACTATATAACGACTATTTAAGACCTTAAGCAGAAGCCGACAATTCTACTTCTTTTGCAGAAACAGCTTAGCCTTAGCCTCTCATTAGGAGCAAAGTGCTTTGTGTAAGGCTTGTGTAAGTTATTCAAAATACCATTAAAAACAACCTGTTTACTAGTACAGTACTGTAATACATTGCCAGAACACTGCATCCATGGATACATTTAAATTACTTAAGGATAAAGTGCACTACAAAGCATATTAGTACAGCATATTAAAAATGTAATGTATAAGACTAGAGCTACAGTAAAAGATTGATAACCAAAACAAATAGTAATATGGTCAATATTGTTGTATACTATAAAAAGCTGCTTGAACCAACATGGTCATGGTTTGCCTGTTACTTTTCTTGAAGAGCTCCTTTTATAAACACATTTGGGATCCTTTTTACTGTTTTTTTTTGTGTTTATTTCACATGATACATTAAACTGAGCATAGATAATATGGGATGCAAGATTATATTATCTAAGTATTTTACATAAAATCAAAGTTAGCCTTTTTTTTAGTAAGATCTGTCATGCTTCGCATAAGTCATGTAAATTAACTAAGAAGAAATATAATACAGAATTATAATACAGAAACTGTGATGTACTGCATTTACAGTTAATATCATAATATAATTATAACTAATTTATCTTAAACTATTAGTGTAGGCCCCTTGCTTCAGTCAGATCAGCTAATGTTTCAGTCTCTCTCGCTCTGTCAAAGCATGTCTTTTCAGAGTGCCAATTAAAGGGTGTAAATACTGCAAATGCTTCTGAAAACATGCTTTTTAGGACTTGGCTGAAGAGATTGGGTACCAGGCAACTTACTGAAAAATGACAGTTACACAAGTTTTCAACACTAAACGCTTGAAGTGATTGAAGAGTGGCGATGCATTGTGAGGGGTAGCACAGTGGCACATTGGATAGTATTGCTGCCCTGGTTCAATTCCTGTCCTGGGGCACTATCTGTAAGGAGTTTGTATGTTCAACCTACGTTCATGTGGGTTTCTTAAAGGTGCTCCTGTTTCCTCTCACAGTCCAAAAACATACTGATAGGTTTATTGGCTTCTGGGAAATCTGACCCTGGTGTGAGTGCTTGTGTGTCTGTGTTTGTCTCTCTGTGTCTCCTGTGATGGACTGGTGTCCTGTCCAGGGCATATCCTGCCTTGCGCCCACTACTAGCTGGGATATGGGCACTGGCTCCCCCTGAATTGAAGAAGCGGTTAGAAAATGGATGGAATGCATTGTGAGAAAGCACGTCCACATGAGCAACCACACATGAAAACCTTTCAGAATATACAGTATAATGCAGGTACAGAATGCAGTAAGTTGCTGGCTTAGCACTTAGCTATCAGATATTGCTGCAAAACTGAGAGACACACAGAGCACAGGTACAGTATAGGTATAACTACATCAAAGACAAGTAACTGACAGTGCCTACCTCTCTCATAACCTGCCGACAAGCCCCACAAGGGGAGATAAACTGGTCTTGTAGATCGCTACAAAAGAAAGAATTGGCAATCAGCATACAATATTCAGAGGTTGTCAGTGGACCATGTACCAGGATACTATTAACCAATCTTTTCTGATTCCTTTCACTAGAAGCTGTGGACATGAGGGCGAAGTGGCCACGCATGTGCTTCATAAGGAAACAAAAGACTAGCCTAGCCTTTCAGCAATGGATACAAAGGTCCTTTTTCAGGCCATAAATGCCCACTGGGGAATGGGGGGCAAGGGCCACCATTTTTCTTGACTACCTGACACTGGAGGTGGAGGCGATGTGGTCAGCATCATGCTCAAGCTGGCCTATTACCCCCAGTACTCATTAGGAAAGCAGGGGAGTGGATCTGGGAGCCATCTGGAAGGAATTAGAGCAAGCTCCATCACCTACCCCTACCTGGGATTGAACCCAAGACCTTCTAGTTAGAAGCTAGCCACCCCTGCCATCTGAGCTACCACGCCTCCGATGGACATGAGAACAGCAGGAAAATCAATAAGTTAAGCAAAATTAATAAGACAAGTGCAGAATTCACAGACGGAAACAGGCACAAGGCATTTATTGTTCCTGTAAATTCTTACTCCCTACCAGCCAAAAAAAAAAAGATTTGCAATTCAGTTTTAGATACTGTGGCTGTGTGGTCAAATACCTCTGAAAGGAACGAGTGTGCACGCTAATTGACATGACAAATTATGCTGCAAGGAGAGAAACAAATCAGAACATCCAACAAGATGTGTAACCTGAATTAACTTAGGCCTCCATCAGGGTTTTTCAAATGAATGTGTTGTCTGTTAATGAATGCCATTAAACCCAGTTAAATGTTATAGAATAGACTTGAGGTTGAGTTTTAATGTGATCTGGTAGATATTTCATACTAAATGGTCACAAATATTTCAATTCGCTACCTACCTAGTTACACATATTTATTGTTCTGGTTGTATTATTTACTATGTTTGTAATGTACTGTCTACTTTGTGTGGTCTTGTTTGTTGTTCTGTGTCATCTGCTGTACTGCGTGTGTCCCAAGAGATCAGCTTGAATAAAAATTCCCATGTACTTTTAGATATGGCACTGAACTCCTCTACTACTACAGGTTCTGCAGGTGTGCTTGTGATTGCTCAGAACAGTTTGCAGAAAAATATCTGCAAAACACATAATCTGCAGTTATACAGATTTACTATATATATACAGTTTTTATATAGAGCAGTAGTATATTTGATTCTTTTTTTCTTTGCTGTATTTCAGGACTGCATGGGGTGGATCTAGAATTTTAACTATCGGTATATGTAACACACTGCCAGTGCCATTTTTAGTTACAGGTTCAGCAACATTGTCATGCGTTCGATGTCATGGTCAACATTTGAATGCTCTTACAGGTAGTCCAGTTTACTGAAGTGCTAACAATAGTCCTTCTGTTCTCACTGGTGCAATATACCATTAATTGAATGCAACAGTGTCAGTGATTGCTTAATTTCAACCTAATGCACAGGCTGGCACAATGCACAATTGTCAGTAGTAGACAATGAAACACTAGAGTCGGTGCTGTTATTACATGTTTTTTGTCTGTGGTACGTTATGGGAACCAGAGTTTTAGCACAGCATGTTCTGACTTTTTGCATACTCTACTGTGGTGTTTTGCCATTTGCAAGAGCTACAGAAATCTGATTTCACAAGGTATAACGACATCCAAGAACCAGATGCTTTATGAATGCTTGAGTATTTTAGGTAGGATAGTTTTGGTTTAACACAGTGGGAGGCGCCACGGTGAGCACCAGTTAAAAGCCAACGCCCCCCGTGAGGGGACAGAAGCACCGGTGTGAGGATAGCAGGGACCAAAAATACAAAAAACAGTGGAAAAAACAAACAAAAAGGCAAAAGGAAAGAGTACCGCTGTGCTGCGTTACCACCAGGCTGGGCTGACCCTGTTTAGCGGGGTCCAGTCTGGTGAGCAGGGCACATAAGGGAAAAAAAAAACAAGAACTTAGTGTAACACGTTACAAAAGCGTGTGCTCGCCTGCCCCTGTGAAAGTGCGTGATGGGACAGGCGAATAAATAAACAGAAAAAGAAAACATTACTCGGGTGCAATCTCCTCCCCTCCCCCTTCCGGGGGCGGCCCTGCTCATCCCCTCGCCGGGTGTCCAGTGCACCTTGATAGGACACGCCCAGCTGGGGCTCATCAGCTGGAAGCCCAAACAGCTGGACTACAAAGGCGAGGCTCCGCCCTTCTACCAGGGCCCCGCCCCCACACTGGACACGCCCCCTCGATGCCACAGCGGTTAATAATGGGCAGCCCCCTGGTCATAGGAGAGTGAGGCTCAAACCCCATTCAGAGACAAGGCAACCAAGGGGCGGCTGCACGCTGGAGATGTGGAGGAGAAGGGACGCTTGAGGCCGAAAAAAACACAAAGAAGAGAAGGTTGCTTAAGATATACAGTATTATACATAACTAACTTCAGTAATGATTGTGATTTGGAGCAGCTCAGTGCCACCAGCTTGTTTTTTGTTATCCCTCCAGAACTTCACCTAAGAACTTTCACTCAGAGTCAAATGTCCACTCAAACAGAGTCAAACTTCCACTCAAACAGAGTCAAGTCAAACTTCCACTCAGAGTCAAATGTCCACTCAAACAGAGTCAAACTTCCACTCAAACAGAGTCAAGTCAAACTTCCACTCAGAGTCAAATGTCCACTCAAACAGAGTCAAACTTCCACTCAAACAGAGTCGAATGTCCACTCAAACAGAATCAAACCTCCACTCAAACAGTCAAATATCCACTCAAAGGGAGACAGTACCTAGAAACAGCAATTGCTCTGAAGCTCTCGTATCCTTCTGAAACAGCTTTTAATATGGCAGTCCGCTCGGCACACACTCCCAGGTTGTAGCAAGCATTTTCAACATTGCAGCCTGTGGGGGAGAAAAACAAATTGACTAAACACAGCGCCTTCAGCTTGTTTTCCTGTACGAGCTGTCACAGGGCCAGTGAAATTAAGGATATCTGCTGGCTCGTTAATAAGCATTTATTCGAATAAAGTTAAAACACTACACGTCTAAAAATATGTTTGAAGCTTCCATTGTTATTCTGTCAGTAGATGTGGAAAAGCCAGGTAGTTCTGTGAATCTACAATAAGTACTGTAAAAGAAAAAGTGACATCTAAAAGCAGGATTTATTTAGTCACTTCGTGTGTTGCTGCGTTTTGATGAGCTGAGATGTATGTTTGCTGAACAGAAAAGGGAGAAAAGGTTGAAGCAGCCAAATCTGACATCACGTGAGTTCAATAACACTCAAGGCCATGGGCACTGTGGAAATATCATGAAAGCACCCTTCAAAAACAAACTTTCTCAAACTACCCAGACCTTTCAAAAACAGACTTTCTCAAAATACCCAGACCTTTTCAGACTGCAAATCTTTACTTGATGAGTACATTATGTTTTTTTCTATGCTTTTATACCTGTTACTAACTTACCTTTGAATAAAGAGGGAAACTGATCATCTGACGGGTGACTGAATTTAAAGGAAGAATGAAGAGATCACACTGAAAACATTTCACTCGAGGACAGTCTGAACACTGTATAGTACAGCAAGTTGCTCTTATTCAGCTGTTCTGTATGAAGTAACAAGTACCATTCCCCACTGAGATCATATTAAACGTGTATGAAGTGACCTTATTCATAAAATATTCATAATAATTCCTAATTCATCATAATTATTATTCATAATATATTCCACATTTATGCATTTAATTTCCTCTACTTAGCCTGACATGTTTGTCGAAAGTATTTTTAAAAAGTCACTTTTGGCAAAGAGATCCTAATTCTACATGTTTGTAGTATTTTGAGTGAAAGCTTTCGCTGTGGAGAATGCACAGTGAATTTCGGAGTTCCCATGTAACCTTTCATCCGCTGTCTTGCACATGTAGTGCGACATGTGGCGTTTCATAACAATGATAGGACCACTGGCGTCTGTCACCAGTTTAATTATTAACCTAGTTACATAATACATATTATACAAGAAAAACATTCCAATTAGTTACCAGACTAGTCCAGTATGTACACCTTTATGAACTTTAAATTCAGGAACGGTACGCAGAAACTGTTGACAGAAGTTAAACAGTATAGGACACGTACATGACAAGCATTGAGTGTTTCTGCTTCTTTCGCAGTCGTAAAAGTGCGTAATTATAACGCGGATTACGCAATAAAACATCATTCCTTTTGATTTTTTATCCCGAAGATATGATTCCAGCAAAGTACTCTACATGGATATCTGAATCCTTTTATCCTTGTTTTTGGGGGAAGAAAACAGTAAGAATAACCCTTACTGTTTGTGTTTGTTTTATTATACGAAATTAATTAAGTTAAAACGGATGAAGTATTTATTGGCACTTGTGATGCACAGTTATCCAAGCCTCTATTGTATCTTCAATTATTGACCATATTTTATTTTCGGAACAGTGTTTTGGAACAGTGATAAACAAAACATGTATAACATAATCCACCTGTATTTAATGCCATCACATACAGTACGGAGCAGTAATCAGTTATCAGTGCTTTACTACTGACAGTGCTCCTAAAAGTTGATAACATCGCACAATGTAGCCTACGCATATATTATAAAGTTATCCTATTAAAATCCCGACCGAATAAACCAGATAACTGTATATAGCTGTGAGGGTGCTATTATCTGGGAAATTGTATTGGCTAATTTATAAACACGAATGAGCGAAGGAGGATTGCTCAGCATAAATTATTTTTTCTAAAGTTGGCTCGATCAAATTCTAATCGTCAGAATAAACAAAGAGCCTCTTCTCACCTGTGAAAACCCTTCCATCGTTGGTCATCAAAGCTGCCCCTACTCGGAAATTGCTATACGGACAGTAAGCAAATTCTTTAGCCTGCAGAGCCTTGTTTATCAGCCCTGTGATCATGTCCTGGTCTGCGGCGGACTGACCCTTTCCAGGCTTCTTAGGTGGAGAAGCGCCCCCATTGATCTCCATCTGTGCCATAACGCGTGATTCTCTGGTGCTCGAGTTTCGTCAATGAAAAGGCAGCAAAACACCAACCGGTAATTCTGTCAGCGACTGTATGCTCAATCTCCTCTTCCGCAGCTGCGTTGACTTTGTGGGAGGGAGGGGTAGTGACAGTTTTGTGAAAGCAGAGGTTACATCATTTTAAAGAGATGGGA